CTGAGTCTAGGGCCGGCTTATGGACTGAAAGGAAAGTGTCTCCGGCTGTACTAGGAGCTCAGCAAACGAGAAGTACAGCTCAGAGAAGGTGGCAAAGAAAAAAATGTGCAAGAAACCAAAGACAGTTTAAGAAAATAACAAAACAGATAAGAACCAAAACAAATTTTACAAATTAAAGTTATAATCATGGAAATAAAGTATATACAGTAATACACACACACACACACACACACACACACACACACACACACACACACATATATATATATATATATATATATATATATATATATATATATATGCTTTTATAAGGCTCAATGCTGGCAAGGTAGTTCAGTGGGCAAATACATTTTCTGCCAGGCTGATGTCCTGAGTTCCATCCCTGAGACCCAATTGGTGGAAAAAAGAGAACAGACTCTCACGAATTGTCCTTTCACACTCCACACATGCATCCCCATATGCATGTGCCCACATAATATAATAAAGTTTAACAAGTAAGGTTAGGGCTGGAGAGATGGCTCAGCGGTTAAGAGCACTGACTGCTCTTCCAGAGGTCCTGAGTTCAATCCCAGCAGCCACATGGTGGCTCACAACCATCTGTAATGGGATCTGATGCCCTCTTCAAGTATGTCCAAAGACAGCTACAATGTACTTACATATATAAAACAAATAAATCTTTAAAAAGAATTTAAAGAAACAAGTAAGGCCTACATACACACACACACATGTTCAGTAAGGTGAATACTTATATAGTGATTTAGCAAGTCTCTTTGTCGTGTTTAACAACTCTATTAAATAGAATACCTATAGTCCTTTAGGAATAAATTTTATCTTTGTTTCTTTGCATTGGCATCTCAGGGGTGGAATTTCCCAAGCATGGGAATGGCCAAGGGGTTGAGATATTCCTCTAGAGATCTGTGCTTCTTTCTACTAGAAATCAGGGTGCACTGTCCACTCACAGCTACTCTGCTCATATTTTTAGGCAGAACTTTCTTAGACTGTGCAGATACAATAAAATCAGATTCCGAACCTGCATGAAGGTAACCTGAAACTATGAATTCCTGAGAAAGTGTGGGTTTTTTTACATATTTATTGAGAACAGATCTCTTTATACATTCTAATCACAGTCCCCCCCACTTCATCTTCCCTCAGATCCTCCCTACCCTCCCACTCTTACAGATTTAAGTGGATCTCAGAGTTCAAGGCCATCTTGGTCTTCAGAGCAAGTCACAGGACAGCCAGGGCTATACAGAGAAATCCTGTTTCAAGGACAACAATAACAACAACCCCCGTCCCCCAAAACAACAAAACAAAACTCCTTCCTGTAAAAGGGATATCATAAATTCTATGCTGTTATAGTGCTTTTAAGTTCTAAAGAGAGTCATAGAGTTTACTGTTTCCTCAGTGTACTTGAAGGAAGACTGGGAAGTGGAGTCTTACCTATCATTCAGGGAGCCCTGCTTTCCCTCCCAACATTTAAAAATTAAATTAAAAAGAAACAGAATAGAATAAAAGCAAATAAATGGAGAAGGGGGGAGAAAAGCATGAGAAGTGTGCATGCACACACACATACAAAGAAAACACAAAATCAGAAGCAGAAGATCAATAAGGTAAAAACTGCCCAGACAAAGTGAGACAAGAATATTCTCCAAAAACAACAGAATTGGTTTCGAGTTTTCCATCCACTGCTGGGCACCAGGCCTGGCCTTAAGTGAGGTTTCTATAGTCGGTGAGACTCAGTTCCCTGCACTCGAGAAAACTAACTTTTCCTTTGTATTTGGTTGCCAATTGGAGATAGCTTTTTGCTTAGGGATGGGAGAGTGTGCCCACTTCCCCCTCAGTGCTGGCATCCCTCCTTACTTGGGCCTGTGCAAGCTCTGTGTATACTGTCACATTCTCTGTGAGTTCGTATACATATCAGTTCTGCTGTGTTTGGAAGACATAGTTTCCTTGGTGTCTTCCATCCCCAACGGCTATTATAATCTTCCTTCCTTATCTCCCTCAGAGTTGAGGGAAATGTTTTCATCTCAGATATCACTAAATCCAAGACAGACGAGACTAACCTGGTTCTTCGATTACAGGGAATAACTGTATTTGATGCTTTAGATTTACGTGCAGCCACATTATATTGTTGAAAAGAGAGGAATTTGCTTTAAAACAGTCACAGCTCTTACCAGCCACTATCCCTCCTAAAGGATAAGCTAGAGTACATGGAGCAATGGAGAGAAAACAATATGCAGTCTCTTTTTCCTACTCAAATAATTCAAGTGTGTTGACTGTGAGCTGCTCCCAAATGTTGGGAGGGAAAGCAGGGCCTCCTGAATGACAGGCAAGACCCCACTAAGCTACATTCCCAGTTTTCTCTCAAGGACACTGAGGAAACAGTAAACTCTATGACTCTCTTTAGAACTTAAAAGCACTATAACAGCATAGAATTTATGATATCTCCTTTACAGGAAGGAGCTTTGTTTTCTTGTTTTGGGGGATGGGGGTTGTTGTTGTCCTTGAAACAGGGTTTCTCTGTGTAGCCCTGGCTGTCCTGTGACTTCCCCTGAAGACCAAGATGGCCTTGAACTTCAAGATCTACTTGCCTTTGCCTCCCTAGTGCTGGGATTAAAGGCATGTGCCACCATGCTCAGCAACTGATTTCACTGTTCTTTCCCCTTATCTCTCCACAATTTTCAGAAATAAGACTCTATCTACATTTTTTTTTAAGTTAGAAAAATATTAAGAGCTGTCTAAGCCGGGCAGTGGTGGCACACGCCTTTAATCCCAGCACTTGGGAGGCAGAGGCAGGCAGATTTCTGAGTTCGAGGCCAGCCTGGTCTACAGAGTGAGTTCCAGGACACCCCTGGCTACACAAAGAAACCCTGTCTCGGAAAAAAAAAAAAAGAGCTGTCTATTTTGTCTATTTTCTATTCTCTTCCTCATGGGAATACATTTATTTGAGACAAGGTCTCCTTATGTCACCCAGCCTGGATAAAGTTTAGCCCAGGATGGCGCTAAACTTCTCGCTCTACTGTCTCCTCCCTGCCAGTCCTGGTTACTGGTGTGGATTACAGTCACTGCCACTACCATCGCCCATTTATGCAGTGTTAGGGATCAAACCCAGGGCTCCATGAATGCATGCTGGGTAAGCAATCAGCTGAGCCTACCTAGCTCACAGGAATACATTAGGATGTCAGTCCATTCACTTGGCCAGCTGAGTCACCGGTGCACCTACAAGATCTGCAGTAGGATGTTCTTGGAAATCTTCTCATGGGCACAGCTCATCTATAAACTAAAAATGATATCTTCTGTTCCACAAAGAAAAGATACTGTGAGAACAATGACTTCAGTAAGGACTACATTTTCCTTGGAGAAATATGGAAGGCAGTATCAGGGCTTAGACATTAAATTCTACAGATTTGCTACACCAGGTCTTTTAAAACTCTTAAGAGTTTGAAAAATAAGCCTATATACAAATAACTTAAATAAACCCATATAAGGACTATATCTGAATGTTCAATGAGTACCCCAAAAGCTACAAAAAGTCTTGGATATGTTGTGAGGTCCACTGCTTTATAGTAAGATATGGCAAAACAATATTGTATTAAGAGAAAGAAGAAAAGTTAGGATAGTTTAAAAACAATGAAAATACATCAGATCTCCCTATCTATGGATTTCACATTCATGTTGTCAGAAAACAGATCACATCACATACTGTGTATTTAGGCTACAATACTCTTGTAAATACTCAATGACTAGCATTTTTGTCTTTCCTAAGTGATATCACATAGCACAGTAGTTGGCATTGTAAGTTATAATCTAGAAATGATTTAAATATTGGCGAGATCGTGTAGATTATATACAAATATTACACTATTTCATGTGAAGGACTTGAGTACCCATGGAATTCTGTATGGGTTCTGGAGATTGTTTTGGAATCAACTAACCCTGGGAATACCTAACAACTATACGCATACAGACTGACATCTTTGAGCAGATCCTAGGACCAGTGGCTGGAAAGAGATCTATAGAGATTTAGACCACACTTCTGACACCTAGTGTTAGTCTGATCATTGGAAGGAAAGACGGTAGAATATAAACAAACTCAACCAGAATATGTGGGTTTATACTGAGAAGGGCCTGGCGCACACTAGGCACCTGTAAACACTTCACAGAGTGTGTCAAGGCTAGACAGAACATAGGGAAATGACCGGTATTCATCTGAATTTGGGAGACAGGAGTAATGAAGAAAACTTCCAGTGGGCGAATTTAGCGTGTCAGAGAGTTCGTTTTGAAGTACAACAAGAAAGCGTGCTAACAAAATTTCCATCTCCAGCGTGGTCAGAAGGAATGCAAGCCTAGCGGATTCCCAAGAATCCTCTAATCAGGCAAATCCTGTTTCTTCCTTAACGCGTGCCTGCACACCCTCCTTGTTTTCCTACAAACACTTAGGGAAGAAAACAGGGACTCTAGGTAGGAGATGATCCCCGTTTGCCACATGTGCGCACCTTCCCCAGTTTTGAGGCTCTCACTGGGAGAGGAAGAAGATGGTTTAACAGAGTGAAGGTCACCAGCAGGCGTCCACTGAGAGGCTGGGGCAGTTGCACCAGCCAGGGAGTCTGGACCAAGCCTGGGTAAAGGTCGCCAGCAGACTGGGCGTAGGTCTTAGCATTCCCCTTAGGCGGAGGTGAAAGGAGAACTCGGGGCCGGGTGTCACCTGAGCCGAGCCACACCCGGATCCCGAGGGAGCTGCGGCCCCGCAACTCACACTCGCCAGCTCGCAGGCCGGAGGGTGACGTCACCCACGTCCAAGCCTTACGTCCAAAGGCCTGTCGTAAGAGTCGGGCAAACGAGGCCTCTAGAGGAAGGGCGCCCTCTGGGCACACCCTACCATGCTTGCCCGCATGCGCGCGCACCTTGCGGGTACTCCTGATCCTGAAGCCAATGAGGTGCGGCTACGTCACGACGCAGCACCCGGCGCTGCCGCACGTCGGGCCGCGGGCGGGCAGAACAAGGGTGGTTGCACCGACACCGGTACATAGGCGCGGGCCGGCGTGTCCTTGGGCTAAAGAGCGGGACGTCTGCGAGTCCGAGCGTTTGTGGTGTTGACCGGCCCGGAGCGGTGAGCGCGCGACGGGGATGCGAGGCGGGAAGGGGGCGAGGAGGCCGGGGCAGGCCTGACCTACAAAGGCATACAGAACTGTGACACGGCTGGAGGCGGCGTGGGTGCAGGGCCGGGGCCCGGAGTTCTAGAGGGAATTCGCCCGCCGCACCTTCTGAGAGCAGAAGCCGCTGTGTCTTGAGGATTGGGCCGGCTCTTTTCCTGCTTAAGCATCTGAAAGAGCGGGTTTCTTCAGTCCCCTTTGAGTGACCTCGTGGTCACCCCTGGGTTCTCAGAACGCGAGAGTGAGAAAGTTCCTTTCCCGGCCCTCCCTTGCCTTCCCGCGCCGGACCGATGTAAGAGAGAGTGACTTAACCTCCAAGTGAGACCAGAGCAGGCGGAAGCTCTTAAGATCCTCAGCTCCCCCAACCAGCCGCATTGATGTGTTCTCCCTTATCTTTAGAAGTCACTTTAATCGGCAGCACAGACAGCAATTAAGCATTCTGAAATGTTAAAGAGTTGTCGTGGTTTTGGTTTAATGAAATTGTAGTCCAGTTGCCTATTTGTGACTCTTTGACCTTGCCTTCTTCTGAAACTGAGGTTTGAGCTGTTGGTTTCTATTTCCCTTCCTTGGGCATGAGCCTGTCTTGAACACAGACTTGTTTTAAAGGAGGGTTTCCTAAAGTGTTCGATATTGAAGAAGATTGCAAGTGGACTGAGTTAGATAGCATCCCGCCTGGTGTTAGAAGACAGAAGAATAGCTTTAGGGGTTTGAATGGTTATATATCAGTATGTTTTACTGTAACAAATTATATACATGAACTGTTGGATCTTTTCATTTTTAGAATTAAAAATGGGTGATGTTGAAAAGGGCAAGAAGATCTTTGTTCAGAAGTGTGCCCAGTGCCACACTGTGGAAAGGGGAGGCAAACATAAGACTGGACCAAATCTCCATGGTCTGTTTGGGCGGAAGACAGGTCAGGCTGCTGGATTCTCTTACACGGATGCCAACAAGAACAAAGGTAAGTGGGAAGCCAATGTTAAGTCTCGGAACAGGTTGCTTGGGTGTAACCAGAGCAGACTTATCAGGTGTGTAAAACACTTAACCGATGCATCTCTTTCTGTTTAGGCATCACCTGGGGAGAGGATACCCTGATGGAGTATTTGGAAAATCCCAAAAAGTACATCCCTGGAACGAAAATGATCTTCGCTGGAATTAAGAAGAAGGGAGAAAGGGCAGACCTAATAGCTTATCTTAAAAAGGCTACTAATGAGTAATTCCACTGCCTTATTTATTACAAAACAAATGTCTCATGGCTTTTTAATGTATACCATAATTTAATTCATACACCAAATTCATATCATGAATGGCTAACAATGTTTTTGTTGGACAGTCCTGATTTAAGTAAAACTGACGTGTCATAAAGTGGATATGATCTTTTCTAAAGCAACAATTCCGGTTGTAGACATGCCATCACTGCTCCCTCTTTCAAGATAAGATTGGACTAAATTAATAATGTTTTACTTTCCATAAATATGGCGGTGTCGCCTCAAACCTATTAAATGGTTTTATACTTAGATTTATATAACTGGGTATATGAATATGTTTAAACACTGGGAAAATTCTATCACTGTCTCAGAAACAAGAAGAGTCACCTGTGTTTCAGTTTGTGTTCACTGGCCTCTTTTAGGCAATGGCTAGACACCAGAAGCAGTTGTCTGTTCTTGACAATGCTGTTTTAATTAGAATTCCCTATGTCAAGGATGCTGCCTTTTACCACTGAAAGGCATTTACTGTGTTTATGTACGATATCAAATAAAGAGCATTTAAACTTCCTTATAGTTGATCCGCAAGTTAAAATGCTTTTAGGAACAAGCAAGTTAGACGTTTTAAATTCTCTATTATCTAAGACTAAGTTGTAATTCAGAATTGTCCTTAACCCATTCAGAAACATAACTGGAATTTCTGTTTATGCATGATTGGGAATGACACTCTTTGCCCACTTACTAGATAGAAAGATTAGAATAAAGGAGATAGTTCGTATCAACAGTAAGAAAATAATTAAAAACAATCACAGATCCTGATCTTATGATTGTGGTTTGTTTAAACTGTCCCTAGTGTAAAGCCGTGGTCTAGTGAAGGTACCAGATGGTCTTGCCTCGCTGTCTGGGACAACTCAGACTAGAGCAACACTTCACCCTTAGTTCTTTGGCCAGAGTGTGATATTCAAAGAAGAATAGTTAGACACTCGCTGAGTGGTCCTAAATTTTATGGACAGTGTCAGGGAAACAGGTGATGTGGTGTCTTTGGGGAGTGAAAAGGCTGGGGAAGGCCTCATCGATGACTTCAGATGTAGAGAATGATAACCAGGCCACAGGTCAGACACAGCACTTCGTGACAGATCTTCATATAAGAAATTGAAGACAATCTGTGGAAACAAGTTTGGAAAGTTTTCTGTAATTTGGAGTTTTGGGCTGATGGATAGGATTTTTTTTTTATGTGCATGGATCTTTTCTCTGCATGTATATCTGTGTACTACACATGTACACTTGAAGGCTAACCCTGGGTGTTGAATCCCTTGGGACTGGTGTTACAGGGGATCTACAGTGTGGGTGCTAGGAGTCAAGGCTGGGTCCTCTGGAAGACCAGCCAGTGTTCTGAGTCCTCCCCAGCCCTGATAAGTTTTTTACTTTGTAAGTCCTTCAGAGATTGAGCTTCGTAACAAGATTTGATGAGTCCTAAATTTTGTAACAGCTTTCCAGAGACACTTCTTAACCAATATGTAAAGAAATAAACTCCTGGAGTTGTGTTCTTGTATTCTGGAAATGGTAGAAAAAAAATAAGCTATTGAGGTGAATATATAGACATTTGGCTTAAGATTTTTATAACATTGGGCTTTTGTTACACATTCAGATGGGCCTTGTTAGTGCAGTAGGTTCTGTGTTAGTCTTAGAGTGTATGAACTCAGACACTGTAACCCGGAAGCGATGAAGCCCTGATGACTCATTTCCTGACAGGCTTGTTACCTCACAAGAGGAAGCCTTTTGTGAGCTCAAGTAAAGTGTCCCTACTGATCAGCAAACTTAGATGTAATTTGGTATTTCTGTTCCTATGTCTAATCCATCATCTAGGGCCTATGTTACACAGATGGGACCGCCTGTGTTTTTAGACTAGCTAGACTCAAGATACCTGTTGAGGGTAAACCAATGAGATGCAGAAAGGGGACAGTCTCTGCTGTTAAGGGGACACTGATTTTACATATAAGGAAGTGGGACAAAGGGCTAACACACTAATTCATCTGCTTGTTAGTTGTTTATTATAGGTAGCTAGTTCAGTGGTATTGTAAGGAAAATCAGATGAATTTCTTCTGTGTTCAGAATGCTTAGAAAAGCTCTGCCCCATAGCCCTTCCTGTAGTGGATCTTTTAGACATCTGTGTCCATTATCCATGTATGGCTGTCAAACCCATGGCTTCAGTAGCTAATGGCTGCTGTATTTATGGCATTGACCTAGCACTAGAACCTGCCAGGGTAACACTTGCCTTCTGAGAATCTAGATGCCTTGCTTTACTAGACACTGATAATTCCTTTGTCTAAATCCCCTGTTTCAACTGTTGGATTTAAGTTGCCTGTTTTAGGTGGGTAGGGGCAGCATCTGTCTTCTGTTACACTTATGTATTTGTTCACTTTAACCACTGGAAGTTGCTGAATAAAGGACATGTCGGAGTACACATTGGCTGTCTAGGAAAAAGATCCTTAAAGACTTTCTACAGCTACATAGTCATAGATGACTTTACATTAGTCAAACTCAGAAGGAAGCTGAAACCAACTCATTTCTAGTGATAAATCTACTCCAGCTTCCTTTTGTTAAAGTATTTTGGAAGCCAAAGAATGAGCCCCGAGTGAGAGCTGCGCAGATGATCCTATCCGGGTGAACTCATGCATACAAGTACATCCAGACCTCCTGTTCCCTGATGGAGCTTTGAAGTTTTAATGAAGTACACAGTGACCTTTGGCTGCTTTTATTTGTTTAATAAAACAGAGTATTAAGCTAAGAATTAATAATTGGATTCTACATTATTTTGTTGGGAATTTAGTGTGCTTGAAAAACTGTCCTATCTCCTCACAGATAATTTAGGTAGTTTTACCTAAGTTTACCATATAATTGCATTCTCAAAGAATAAATACTGTGGTTCATTGACAATCTCCTGTCTATCAATATAGCATACAGCTCATCATTCATAAGGAAGACATATGGGCAGGCGACCAATGTGTAATGGTAATGCCACTCAGTTTTTAGAAGTAAACTGACTTGAGTTGCTAGAATTTGGTTTTAATGACCCTGCTTTAGTCACGTTATTGACATCTCAACGTGCTGATGCTTGGGAAGATTGTTAGCATGTTTTACAATCCAGCTGACAACGATGAAGCTCACCGAGCCAGGTATATGTAGCTGAAGAACAACATAGATGAAACCAGAACCAAGGAACGCTGTCAAAATTTCCTATCCTGGATTGATCTGATGGCTCAATGGGTAAAAGTAACCTACCTGTTTTCAATCTTAATGAGCCGAGTTCAATCCCAGGAATCCATATAATCAAAGGAAAGAACTGACTGCCTATTGCCCTCTGCCCTCCACACATGCTATGGTATGCACAATATTGAATGTAGTATTTTTGACATTCGTTAGGTCTATAGCTTGAGTTGTGAACTTGGAGGAAGAACCATTGGACTAGATTACTGTATTATTTGAGGTATAATGTAGAAAGTACTGGGTTGGGGACTAAAACTGTTTATAATAGAGTACTATGTTGATACCTATCACAATCCAACCTCACCCCTAATAGAAAGTGAAACCCTGCCAGGTAAATCCTATTTCATTTCTGCTTTGACTACAGCTGGTTTCAGGTTACATTAGGACTTAGTGACAGTTGGGTGTGGTGGTTCATGGAGGATTTTGAGTTCTATGTCAGCCTGAGCTACACAGTGACGGCTGTCTCAAAAGTAAAAAATGTTTACATGGCTGCCACTGAAATTGTGGCCCAAAAACCTAAAATCTGTGTGATGCTTTAAGAATGTCTCTCCAGGCCCAGAGATGTAGCTTAGTGGATAAGACTGTTTAGCTCTGGGCTTGATATCTAGTGTAAACCAGGCATGGTGGTCCCAGCACTTGGTAAGTGGAGACAGGAAGTTCAGAAGTTCAAGGTCATTCTTGGCTACATAGTGAGTTTGAGGTCAGACCGGAGTACATAAGTCCTTGTCTCACAAATACAGTTAAGTTCCACTAGTTCAGAGCTTTGCCAAATGGCAAAACAAGGTTGTATTGCTCGTAGAAGGGGGGGAAAGGTTACTTAGATTAATTACTTTCATAGCTATCATACAGGGTGACTTCTAAAACTTTATATGAACTGAGTCGTCTCATTTATCATTTTATCATCTCATTTTATTTATCATCTATTTATTTAACTGGACATGGTAGCTTAGGCCTTTGATCCCAGCACTAGGAAGCAGAGGCAGGAAAATCTCTGAGTTTAAGGCCAGCCTGGTTTACAGAGAGATCCTGGACAACTAAGAGTTATACAGGGAAACCCTGTCTCAAAAAAACCAAATAATGGGCTCAGTGGTTAAGGCTCTTCCAGAGGTCCTGAGTTCAATTCCCAGCAACCACATGGTGGCTCACAACCATCTGTAATGGGATCTAATGCCCTCTTCTGGTGTGTCTGAAGGAAGCAACAGTGTCCTCACATAAAGTAAATCTTTAACAAAACCAAAAACCAAATAATAATAGCAATACATATTTATCTGTATTTTATGTGTATGAGTGTTTAGCCTGCATGTATGAGAACTAGGTGTATGCCTAGAGCCCACAGAGACCAGTAGTAGGTATTAGATCTCCTGGAACAAGTTACAAATGGAAACTGGGTCCTCTGTAAGATCAGCAAGTAGACTTAACCACGAGTCATCTTCTCATAGACACTTGCTTTGTTTGATAGGAACTGTTTGCTCCAGGCCTGTGCTCCAGCGGCCCTCACAAATGTCACAAATGGAGCCTGCTTAGTCTCCACATTGTCCACAACAGAAGCTTCATGACCATCAGATCTTCCTGAGCATTTCTGGCACAGACAACTGCTGTGCTAGACATCAACATGAACCTATGGTCTGTACTACCCATCGCCACGCCCACTGAGCACCTGAGCTTGCCTGGGCTCTCTGACACCCTCTTAACCATCTGCATACCAGTGAGTGTGCTATCTACTTGCACTCACCAAAACTCCAGACCCTGTCATTGACTTGTGACCTTGTCTTTAGTCAGCCTCTCAGGATTTCTTCTCAGTCTCTGAATTCTCCACATCCTCTCCCTTGGTCATTTGTACTTCCTTCCATGGTATCTGCTCTGTAAAGCAGCCTGGGAGCTCAGCCATCTGCTTTCTCCATTCTCATGCCTGACTTGAGTCTTGGAGGAAGCCCCTGTCATGATTACCTCTAAGTGGACTGAATCCGTGGACTCCCTGACAGTCTGTTCTTTGTAGATCCAGGGTCCCACTCTTGCAAATACTATGTCATCCTGCTGCTTGAGTATTTTATCCCTCCCCTCCTCACTGTCCCATCAGACCCAGACTGGTGAGTTAGACCATCAGCGTCTCCACATAATACACCTCAGTGTGCTCTAACACCTTCAGCTCCCTCTCACACAGAAGGTAAAATGCTGGTTGCCTGCTTTCTGTTCATTTCAGGGCCTCTCCACGGGCAGCCACACTTTTATATTACAAATGTGCTGTGTGTATAAATTCTCAAGTAGTAGCTTTTCTTACTCAGCATGCCTAATAAATTTGTAACTGTCCTTACCTGAAATAGGCCTGTATAAGTCAAGATTGGATCTGAGACACCTTTCCAGCTAGAGTTACAGGAGAATAGGGTCTTTCCAAGTCATGAACACAGAATTTTTACCTATTATATTTAAGTTTTAACTTTTTTGTGACTTTTACTGGTGAAGGTTGGAGGAAAAGGCTCCCAAAGAGTTGAGCCTTCTGCTGACAGTTCCTAGCAGAATCAAGCACACTAACCTTTCTGTACCTCCTCTGTAAACTGACGATAGTCCCTAGACTTGTGAGGCGTTAAATTGTATGTGGCATGTTCACCAGCACTCAACCAATGTTAGATAGTTTTGGACTAGCTGGACCAGACATACTTTCAAGTTGTTTACAGCTATAGAAATGCATTTCAGAGTAAAGGACACATGGTTTTTCCAAGTGGAGTGAACCCGAAGCTCACTGGGACAGAAGTGCTAGCATTAGAGATTTGTATCCAGGACAAAAGCATGACATTCTAAAAGTTCACCCATCCCAGTGTGAGACCAAGAGTCCATCATGAGCTGCAACCTTCACATTCCCTGAGAGCGTTTCTAAACAGGGCTGAGTTTGATGAAAGAGAAGAATGGATGCCTAACATTCATGCACTCATCTTCTGAGTGTGTCTAGTTTTCACACTAACCTGACAGAGTTTGGAAGTTTGGGTAGTTTGTTGTTTTGATTGAGCAGAGTCTGCCTTGGGTCGTGCTGCTCTAAACTCAAGATCCTTCTGCCTTAGGCTCCTTAGCACTGAGAATGCAGGTGTCACCACACCTGGATGCTGTGGTTTTTATCTAGTTTGCTGCTGTAACACAAATCCTAGCCAACTTTTCCTGAACCTTAAAAGTCATTTCAACAAGAGCACACAAATCGAGAGGGTAACATTTTCATTAGAGTACATAGGGGGTAGGAAATGTTGAGTTACAAATCCACTTTTCTGCTTCTCAGGAGATTCAACTTAGGTCAAAGCA